ATCCATAAAAAAACGAATGGAAAATTGCTTTTCGTTGCAAGTATAAACATTACGAATATTTAGTAATGCCTTTCGGTTTGGCCAACGCTTTAGCAACGTTCCAAAGCTTTATTAATATAGCGTTTGGGAAATTAATTAATAGCAATTGCATCGTATATTTAAACGATATTTTTATTTTTTCGAAAATATAAAAAAAGTACCGCGAAATAGTAAAAACGGTATTAAAACGATTTAAACGGTTTAAATTTTACGTTAGCCCGGTTAAATGCAAATTCGAAACGGATAGTATCGATTTTTTAAAATTTAGGATAACCAAATTCGGGGTCGAAATTTTGCTGGATAAAGTTATTGCAATTTTAAAGTAAAGGATACCGGAAAGCGTTAAAAATATCCAAATATTTTTGGGCTTTACGGGGTATTATCGGAAATTCGTAAAAGGTTACGCGAAAATTACTATGCTTTTAACGGATTTTTTTAGCAAAAATACTGTATTTTATTTGGGAAATATTGCGAAAAAGGCTTTTTGCAAATTAAAGCTGCTATTTACGAAAATTCCGGTATTAGTGCATTTCGACCTTTCGAAACCGTTGTGCGTGCGGACCGACGCTTTGGCTTTTGCGATAAGGGCGGTATTATTGCAATTGCAAAACGGCCGGTAGCATTCGGTAATTTACATGTTAAAAAAGCTGCAATAAAAAAAGTTACGCTATACAATTTTTAATTTAAAATTATTGGCGATCGTAAAAGCTTTCGAAAAGTAACGGTATTATTTAGCTTATTTACAAAAAATTATTAAAATAATTACTAACCATTTAAACCATACTTATATTTTAATAAAGGAAAAAGTAATAAAGCGCTAAGCAAAATGGTTTAAAAATTTAGCAAAGTACGATTTTATAATTAAATGGAAGCCAGGATATTAAAACCCCGCAAATGGTTTATTAAAACGTTTTTAAAATATACCCGTAAACGGGGAAGCCGATAAGGCAAAAAAGGAATTTTAAAGCAATTTGCTGGCCAAATTTCGAAAAGTAGCTTACGTAAGGACAATTATTATTAAAAAAAATATTAAAACGATATTAAAGCGCATTTTTGAAGCACAAGCAAAAAACGATTTCGTTTAAAGCGGTATTTGGAAAAGCAAGCCTAACGTTTAGGGGATTAACAACGGTTTGTTTAAGCATAAAAAGAAAATTTGGGTCCCGAATTTAGCGCCGTTGCAACGGGCAATGTTTTAAAAACAATACGATAGCCCAACGAAAAGTTACAAAAGCATAACCAAAATTTTAAAAAAGTTTAAACGGCAGTTTAAATGGCCGGGTATGGCTAAAAACGTACGCAAATACGTACGAACGTATTAAATATGCTAGCAAACGAAATTAAAAATACAAGCACTTTACGGATTGCTAGCATTTTTGCCCGTACCAAACCGCCCGGGACAAAAGCTATCGATGGATTTTATTGGAAAATTTTTAACGTTAGTAAATAAAGCCGGCAAAAAGCGCAACGCAATATTGGTAATAATCGATCGATTTATTAAATATAGCTTTTTTATCCCAACGTTTACGAAATTAACCAATAAAAAATTGGGAAGCTTTTTATTTGCATACGTTTAAAAGTTATTGGAAACGCCCGAAAAGATTGTATTAAACCGGGATAAATTATTTACAAACGGGTTTTGGATAACCTTTGCCGGACATTTAAAGGTTAACAAAAAGCTATCGATAGCATATTACTTTTAAACCGACGGGCAAACGGAACGGACGAACCAAGCAATAAAGCATTATTTCCGGTACTTTTGCTGCGAAAGGCAAAACGATTAGGCGTTATTATTGCATTTGGCAGCGTAAATGCACAATACGAACGTGCATTTAAGGTTGCAAAAAACCCCGGCGTTTTTGTTAATAGGGTTTTATTTATAAAGGCTTTATAATTTTTGGGTAATTAGGAAAAGATTTTCGGCAACGGTTAAAGTTAAAGCGGGGGCTTTGGAAGCAATTAAAAAGCAAGCCAAAAAATTGTTAAAAAAAGCGAATAATATATATAAAAAGTATTATAATAAAGGCAAAACCCCGGTACCTTTCGGGGTAAGCAATTGGGTATTGCTAAGTACGGCGAACATTAAAATAAAAAGGCCGTCGAAAAAGCTATTGGATAAATGGTTAGGACCTTTTTAGGTTTTAAAAATGGTTGGGTTAGCCGGTTTAGCGTTCCGGTTAAGGCTTTTAGTAAGTTATTGGATATACGACGTATTCCCGGCAAATTTGTTGCGGGCGTTTAAAAAAAGGCCCGGCGAAAAACCAAAAAATAAGGAATTAAAAATCGAAAAAAAGGAAAAGGATCGTTTCGAAATAAAAGCTTTGTTGAAATATAAAAAGCTTTTGCGAAAACGAAAATACCTGGTTAAATGAATAGGTTACAACGAATCGGAAAATTCGTAAATTTTAAAAAAGGATATTACGAAAGAAATTGTTTAAACGTATAAAGCAAGCTTATTGTAAACAAGCTTATAAGATAAGGAAAATACCAAACCCTAACGGGTAAATATCCGGAAAAAACGGGGGTATTATAAAAAAAAATGATAAAAACCAAAAAAATGGTTTAAAAAAATGTTTTAAACGTGCCGAACCGGCTAGCCACCGGGGAAAAACGTAAAAAAATTTGTAAGCGGTTTGTAATAACCGTAAAATATTGTGCTTTATAAACAAAAAGTTAAATAAAAACGGTATAGTACGGGGAACGCCCTAAATTAATAATGCAATATATTTAAATTCCGAAAAATATGCAAAGTGTAATATATTTTGGAAAGCCCGTAAAGGGCATGCTTGGCGCGATACGCTAAAGCAATTACCGCATTTTAAACGTACGTTGTAATAAAAAATACCATTGTTTGCCCGAAAAAAAAGTGGAAAAATTTCCGGATAGCATAACGGACGGGCTTAAGCGTTCGGGTAGCGGTAAATGCATGTTAACGGTATTTAAACCTATTAAGGGGGCGAAAAAAAAGCATTTTAAAATTATTTATTAAAGCATTAAAGCTTAATTGGTAAATATGGATACCGGGATTTCGCAATGCTGTAAGGGCAATATAACGAAAGGAAATTGTAATTTTAATTGTAATAAATTAACGAAAAAAATTTAAAATTAACCACTTTTCGAAAAAGGGATACCAATAATTAATTAAAAAAATATATAAAAAAAATCGATTAAATGCCGTATTTAAAAAAACCAAAACTTTCGGAAATTACGTTTTTTTTGCTAGCGCTATAATTATTGCCGCTAAAATTGTTAGCGCCGAAAGCGGCATTTCCCGGCGCTAATACGAACGCCGCACTTTTACGGGAAGCCGCGCGGTTATAAGCTTGGGTATCCAAATGCGCCGCAATCGTAGCAAAGCTAGCGGCAATGCTACCAAAAAAACAACCATACTTTTTTCGAAACGCTTAAAAAACGCTTTTATTTCGTTAAAAAAATTACTAATATTAGTTAAAGCTTAAATTTACCTTTTCGTTTAAACGGCAATAGCGTAAAGCTATTGGAAAATGTTTTAAATAATTTCCAATATCGTAACGTTGGCAATTTTGCGTTGGATGCGCTTTTGGATAACGGTTTAACGTTTATAACGCGCAAATTGTTTGGCCGATATGGTATGGAAGGATTTGGCTTTTTGGATAGTTTTGCAAGCGCGAAATTGGGTTTTAATAAGCTTTTCGAAAAGTTCCGGTATTGTTTTGGGCAACCGCTTATGGACGGTATTTAAAATTTTGTAAAAGTTTTAGGCTATTTCCCAAAACCATTCGGAAAATTTAACGCAAATTTTGTTACCAACCACGTTTTTGTAATAAATACATTTGGAAAACCCCGTACAATTATCGAAGCATATCGGTATACAAAGGTTAACGGCATAGTTTTAATATGCTTAACAATTAAAATAGCGGTTACAAAATACCGTACGTTCCGTATAATTGTTTTTAAAAAAGGGCAAATAAATAAGGTTCCAATTATTGCTTTATTGGAAATTAATAACTTTTTGCAACGGGAACGCATTGCAAATATTTATATAAAGCAAAAAAAAGGCAATGTCCGTTTCGGGGGCAAATTTATTAAAATCGAAAGCGTTGCGGCGGCGTTTATTGCGCGCTTTACGCTTTTTTTTGGCGAAAGTTTTTTTACCGCGGCGGTTAAAACCCGCCGGGGGGTTACCGGCAAAACGTTTGCGAAAGCTTTAAAAAGTTGCAAGCGCAAAAAGGCCCGATGGACCCGCGATATTTAAAGGGCTTACCGTAAGGTTACCGGCAAAGCGATCGTTAAGGATTTAAAGGATTAAAAAATTTTGGCGAAACCGAATTCGAATTCGATTAAATTACAATAGCTAGGAAAAATACCAAAAGGTCGCTAAAAAGGGCCAGCGGGCCGGCTGGAACCGAAAAACCCAAAGCGGACATTTAAAGGAATATTACTTTTTTTACGTAATTGGGTACAAAGGATAACATTTGTAGCTACCGGTTAGGTTTAAGTATTTAAAAGGAACGGTTAAATACTAACTATTTACGGTTACGATTGTTAAAGTTGTTAAAATGGTTATTAAGTGCACAAAAAGGAAAAAAAAAGGGCTTGTAACTTTAAACGGGAAAAAAAGCTTTTTATATACCGGTACGGACTTACTTTTCCAAATGCTACAAAATTTTACAACCGGTTTTTTTAAACGTTGCCGGGCATTGGGGCGGCTTAGCGGGATACCGTAAGCTACCGGCTACTTACGGGGTTGCACGCGCGGTACAAACGGCTTAAAACAAACCGTATCGGAAAAGGGTAATATGTTAAAAGCACGGGCAAAACCGCCCGGCAAAAAGCGGAAAGCGTTAAATGCACGGGCAAAACCGCCCGGTAAAAAAAAAAAGGGGGCGCTAATAGCTAGCCGGGCACGGACCCCCCGGAAATATGCCGGCAAATTACCGGTATTGCGGCCAAAGCATAATAGCGAAACTAAAAAATAAAATAAAGTTTAAATTGCACGAAAGCGTTTAAAGCGCGAAAAATTTAAAAAACCGACCCCGGGTGCCCAAAAGGGCACGAAAAAAAAGAAAGTTAAAAAAAAACAATTTTTGTTGGCGATAGCACCTTTGGTAAGAGATTTACGGAGGTTTAACAAAGGAAACACCGCATCCGGCCCGTGACCCGGTAACCACCCGCCTCTGCACCGATTAACCCCTAACACCAAGTTACCTTGTAAATCCCTTTAGTTGTTAAGTTACGTGCTACTGCTTAGTACTCCTTTAGTGCCTTACTTTAAAAGCAGAGGCTTAATTGCAACATTAACAAACCGAAATTTAACAATTTGCCGAAAATAATAAAGCTAAAAAACGTTTAACAATTTTATTTCGAACGTTTCAAATGCTATAAAAAACTTTTAAACAATTAAAAAAATTGGTTATTTAAATTAGCATTATTAAAACCCGCTTTTTTACAAGCCTTACAACCCGATTTTTTTTTAAAAAGCTTTAAAAAGCTATAGCGGGCATAAATACAATTTAATTAAAGCCCGGTAAAAAATTAAGCAATTAAAAAGCCAATTAAAGGCATTACAGCTTCGTAAAAGGAAAAAGGTAGCTGCGGATTCCAACGAGGCTTTTATGGATATACATCGGGTTGCAGCGAAAAGGGGGGAGGTTTTGGAAAAGGGAAATAATGCATTTAAAAGCCCGGACGAATTTAATTAGGAATTAATTTCGTTTTGCATCGAAGCTGCTTAAATAAAGGTAAAAATTTGCAGTTAAATGCAATAAGTTGGGTGGTAATCGGACTTATAAAGTGTCCGAACAGGGGGGGTGGTCGAACAGGGGGTGCATTAACTTACCTCGCTCGACGCTTACGCGCTCCTTACGCGCCCGTTATAACTTCCAAAAAGAAGTCCGGATTTAAAAGGCTTGCTTCGCCTCTTTTGGCGGTGGCGGGCGATTGTTAGGGGTCGATCGGTGCAAAGGCGGGTAATTACCAAGTCACGGGCCGGATGCGGTGTTTCCTTTGTTAAGCCTCCGTAAATTTCCTACCAAAGGTGCTATTTCCAACAAAAATTTTTTTTTTTTAACCTTCCCTTTTTTCGTGCCCTTTCGGGCACGCGGGGTCGGTTTTATAAATCTTCCGCGCTCCATGCGCTTTCGTGCAATTTAAGCTTTACCTTATTTTTTAACTTTGCCGTTATGCTTTGGCCGCAACACCGGCAACTCGCCGGCACGTTCCCGGAAGGGTCCGCGCCTGGCTGGCTGCTAGCGCCCTTTTCCCCCTTTTTTGCCGGGCGGTTTTGCCCGTGCTCCTAACAGCGATTTGCACCGTTGCAAAGCCCGTTGCTTGTAAGTATCTTTTTCCGTGTTCCCCGCGGCCTCGCGCTAACCTTCCTTAGTGTTCGTTGCGGCGCGGCGAGCTGCACGACCTGAAAAAAAAAAAAAACATTTGTTAAAAAATATAAACCGAATTTACGGGACAAAAAAATAAAAAGCTTAACGGGTAAATACCTTGAAAAAACGGGGGTAACAAAGGATAAAAGTAATAAAAACCCGAAAGAATAGCCCAAAAAAAAATGTTTTAAACGGACCAAACCGGTTAATTACCGGGAAAAAACGGGAAAGATTTGTAAACGGCTTTAAAAGTTATATAATATCGTGCTTTATAAATAAAAGGTTAAATAAAAACGGTATAATATAAGGAACGCCTTAAATTGTTAAATGCAACACTGTTACAGTTAAGCCTTTGCTCCTAAAGTAAGGCACTGGAGGAGTGCTAAGCAGTAGCACGTAACTTAACAATTAAAGGGATTTACAAAGTAACTTGGGTGCGGCTTAAATGCTTGCTCCAAAGGGTACTTGGAAGCTAACTTAAATTAATTAATGCCAATGCATTTATTAAAAATTACTTAAAATAATAAAAAACCCTTCCTTTTTATACTTTAATACTTACTTTTTTAAGGGCCGTAAATTAATTAACTTACCAAACCGTTTTTGTAAGCCTTTTTAAACTTCCTTTAAATTAATGGTTTACCTTTTTTATTTTTTTAATTTATTAATCCCAAATGGTTACGTAACCTTTTACCCTTTATAAAGGTTTTCGTCCCGTACTACCCTTTCTTTTTAAATAAAAGTAATTATTGGTTGTAATATTAAATCCTTTTTTTAATAGCCAAACCTTTTTAACCACGTATTATTATCCTTTTTGCCTTTTTGTTAATCGTAAATACTTTTTTTTTTATTATTTAACCGTTCCTTTTTTTTAATAAAATGTTCGGGCGAATTTAAAAACGTCCGGTTCGAAAAACCATTTAATAATACGCTTTGTTATTTACCGTTTTTAACTTTTTAATTTTAATACTTTTTTGCTTTGCTTATAAAGCCGTTGGTTTTTTTTTATTAAATATTTTTGGAAAATTCCTTTCGTTATGCTAAATGCGTTTGTTTGGAACGTGCTTGGTACAACGTTTTAAAGGTTTTTTTTAACCAATTGCGCAAAATTGTTAAGCAATATTTTAATTTAAACGCCGAATTTGCTATTGCAAAGCAATTTTGCCGTTAAGCCGAAAAGTTAATACGTGCTAAAAGCAACCGGGTTTAGCATTTGCGTATTTAAAAAAACCTATAATTCGAAAAAATAATGCGCGCTATCCGCCGAAAAATTAATAGCGTTAAGAAGCTAAAACGGGTAAAGCGGGAAGAAAAAGCGCAAGTTATTGCCAAGGCGGCAATTAGCCCTTTTTTTTTGCTTTAACCCGATTTTTTTCCTTTATTTTTTAATTGGGCAGCGTTAAAGGTTAATCCTAACCTTAACCCGCTAGCCCTTTTTTAACCGGATAAGTTGTAATTTTTTTAACACTTCCTTTTGGTTGTATGGCGCAATAGTAACGCGTTCGCTTTCGTAGCGGAAGGTTTTGGGTTTAACTTCCGGTGCAACCTTTAATTGTTGCATGGAACGTTTCCGTTGGAAACGTTCCTTGCAGCAATTGTACCCTTTTTTTGCTTAAGTCCTTTTGTTAACTTTTGGTTAGCAAAGGTTTGGTGTTAACCCTAACCTGCTTGCCATTTTTTAAGTTAATAAGTTATAGCTTTTTCCAATAATTCCTTTAGTCGTATAGCGCAATAATAACGCGTTCGTTCTTGTAACGGGAAATCCTGGGTTTAACTTTCGGTGCAACTTTAACAGCTAACCAGGCAGTTTATGCCTGGTTATTTACTAACCTTTTTTTTTGCTTAAGCTTGCTAACCTATCCCGTAAATATATTGTTGGTTTTCCTTTTTCCCTTGCCTTCCAAATTCCTTTAAATTTAAAGCATTTTACAAGCTCCAAAGCTACTGCTAACTTTTTCCCAAACGATACCTTTGCAAAGCCTTTTAGCAATTCCTAAAATTTGTTGCGTTTTTTTATATATTGTGCTTATCCCTTTACCCTTCCCATTTAACAAAGTATTGCTTTTTGCGGTAACGCGTTCGCTTGTTAAAAATAGCTTTAACCTTTTACTTTTAATTGGGGTTAACTTTTATTAACTTAATATTTTTAAAGCCCGAAAGCGCTGGCTTTAGCAAAAAAACGTAAAAAACCGGGTAAATGCGCATGGTTAATGGTAGCTAAAATTCGTAATTAATTAAAAAAATAATACGAATAACCCGAAAAGGTCCCCATTTTTTTTATCCAGCTTATCGCTTGGCCTTTTTGTTTTAATGTTAGCGCGTAAAAGGTAAGCGTTATCCTTTTCCTTAAAAATCGGTTTTTTAATCCTTTTTTTGTTAGCTTGCTTTGCTATTTGGTAACGCAAATTTTCCAACTTATTTTGGAAGTTTTGGTGCAATTTAATAAATTTCGTTATTTAAATTTCCGTTGCTAAAGCTTTAAATCCGGCTTTAAGCTCGTTGTACGTTATAAAGGTATATTTATAATTAGCGTAAAACGGCGTTTTTTTTATGCTTTTATGCGCAAAATTATTGTAAGCGAATTGGGCAATTGGTAATAATTAAATTTAATTATTTTGTTTGTAAGTAACATAATAACGCAAATATTGCTTTATCGTTTTATTGGTTCGTTTTGTTTATCCGTCCGTTTAGGGGTAATACGCTATTAACAAAGCGTATTTTGCTCCGAAAAATGCCGTAAGTGTTGGAACCTACCTGTTAAGCGCATGCACAGGCTTTGGAGGATCGCTATGCATAAATTCGGGATTTGTGCACCGGCTATCCAAAGCTCCTTTGTACCTATATAAAGAGGTCGGATCCATCCTTTTCTTTTAAGAAAATTCCTTCCTTTTTAAACCTAAATAACAACACTTTAACCTAATTACCTTTTAATAATTATCAAACCTTAGTTTTACGCCGTTTGGAGCTCCACGAGCATAGGACTCCACCCTAAAGTCCTTTTTACAGTAAGCGTTTTTTAAAATTTGCTTGTAAATAGCTTGTTTCGGTTCGTAATTAATTTTTGTAGCATTCCGTAATTTGTTATTACGTGCCGAAAAAAAGCGTAAGTTAAAATTGGCGCATTGTTGCTTTTTTTGTAAAGTAAATATAAGGTATATTTTGTAAGCTTATCCATTATTACCAATATGCTATTATATTGTATTTTCGTTAAAAGCTTTTTGGATTTAAAAAGCTTAACAACAAAATCCATAATAATTTTTTACTATGCCTTTTTTAGCGCTGGCAATAATTAAAGCAATTCGTAAAGGAAATGCTTGCTAAGCTTATTTTTAGCGCATATTTAGCAATTTTTTATTGCTTTTAGCATTGTTGCCCGAATTTTTGTAAACCCGTAATGCTACCGGAACTTTTTTTATATTTTGGTAATTTTTAAATGGCTATAAGCTAATAGCTTATGGATTTCCAAAATCCTTTTTAAAATTTAACTTTGCTTTTTGGTTATCGAAATTATTATTTGCTAAGCTAAAACCAACGCTTTTCCTGGCCTATAAGCCAAAAACGTTTTGGTTTTTTTTGGAATAATAACTTTATAATTGCTTTATTTGCTTAAAACGTTTGCCTTTCCGTTTTCCAATCCTTTTCGGTACAAAATTTGGAAATCGTAATTTTAAAGGTACTAGCTCCAACGGATTTAACGCTTATTAAAATTTTGGCTCGTAATAAAATGTGCCAAATTTTTATAATTGGTATATATCGTTACTTGGTGGTTTGTTTTACACAAATATACCTTTTACTTTTCCAAAGCTTTAATAATAACGAAAACCTTTTTATTATGGATTTGGTAATTTAATTTAAATTTTTTAAATTTTTGTAAAAAAAAAGCGCAAAAATGCAACCTTTTTTTTTTATTTCGTTAATTTAATTATCCTTTAATTGCGTAATCCAACGCGTTAATTTTAACTTCGAACGGTTTGTTCGGGTTTGGGATAACCAATATTGGTTCCCGTAAAATAACGTTTTTAAATTGCTCGAAAGCCGCTTGTTTTCGTATCCTTTAATGGAATTAAATATCGTTTTTGGTAAAATTTGTAAATAACGTAACGCTGCCGTTAAACCTTTGCATAAACCGTCGATAAAAGTTAAAAAATCCCAAAAACGCCCGTACTTTTCGTACGTTAATAAGCGCTGGCCAATTAGCCATTTTTTATACTTTGGTTAAATCCATTTTAACCTTTTTTAACGTAATAACGAACCCGAAAAAAACCATTTCCTGGGCATGCCATACGCATTTATCCGGGTTAATTAAAAGCTTTGCATTTTGTAACTTTTGCAACATTTAATGCATATATTGCTTGTGCTTTTCCAACGTTTTTAAATATATTAAAATATGGTTTAAATACGTTAAAGCAAAAATATCGAAATGCTTTCGAAATACGTAATTAATTATCCATTGGAAAATAGCTAGCGCATTAATAAGTTCGAAAGTTATAACCAACAATTCGTACACGCTAAACCGTATCCGGAAAGCGGTTATCCATTTTTGTTCTTTTTTAATTTAAAACAATTTATATGCTTTTCGAAAATTCAAAACCGTAAAATATTTGGCTTTACCGAATTTATTGCGTAATTTATCGATAAAAAGCAAAAAATACCAATTTTTTATCGTAACCTCGTTTAATAATTGGTAATTAATGCATATTCGTTCCTTTCCGTTTTTTTTAAGCACAAATAAAATTTCGTATTCCATTAAAAATGTTAAAAATGTAAGAAGGACTTTGGGGTAAAGTCCTATGCTTGTGGAGTTTTAAACGGCGTAAAATTAAGGTTTGATAATTATTAAAAGGTAATTAAATTAAAATGTTGTTATTTAAGTTTTAGGAAAAAGGAATTTTTTTAAAAGAAAAGGACGGATCCAACCTTTTTATATAAATATAAAGGAGCTTTGGATGGCCGGTACATAAATCCCGGATTTGTGCATGGCGATTTTCCAAAGCCTATGCATGCGTTTAATAAGTAAGTTCCAATACCAATTATTTTTTTTTTTTGGTAACGCATGCATGGTAAAAAGGAAAAAAAAAATTTGCGGTTCGAATGCGCAATAATAAATAATTTGCTAAATCGGCGATTTGGGTAGCATGTAAAAAGAAAATGCTTGTTCGGATTGTTTTGCCGGATGCATATTGTTATTAAATAATAAACGTGGATAAAGGTTTGGGGGATTATGTAAATTTTAATTCCAAAGTTCCGGGATTAATAAATTAAAGGTTATAAACGTTTGGGATTATTGTAAATTAAATAGGAAGTTTTTATAATGTTTGGGAATGGATGCGTTAAAAGCAAAAGTGGAGGCTAACGGATAAAAGGCGGTAAGCTTTTATTTGGCCCGTTAATCGTCGATCCAATTATTTTAATCTTTTTTTTTACAACCCCGTTTTTTAAACCAATTTAATTGGTTACGTGCGTTCCGGAATCGTTATTTGCAATTCGTGCGCTTGCCGTATTGTTATTTTTTATTTTTTTTATTTAATTTTGTGCTTTATACCTTTTTAATAGCATTATAAACTTTCCGTTTGGTTTAAACGCTTAGGATTTGTTCGACCACGTTTTGGAAAGCGCTATTTCGTTGGAAAAAGCTTAAAATTAGCAATCGGTTGCTTGGGTCGTTCCAAAAATAAAGCTTTACAATTTACCTTTAAATTATGCCTTTTCCCGTTAAAAAGTTTAACGAGCTTTTTTCGTTTCCGGTATTACAATTTGTGCTTAAAAGCTTGCCCGCGCCCGTTTCGGCCGTTCCAACCGCTTTTATTGGTTGCAAAAAAAAGCGTGCCGTTTCCCGCAATGGCCGTAATAGTTTTAATATTTGTAAGCGCGGTAAAAAAGGTGCTAATTAAGCAACGATTTGCTTTAGTTGCTTTAATTCCGTGCTTTACGGCAAGTTTAGCGTTAAAAAGGATATGGCTTGGCTTTGTATTAAAAAATTGGGCTCTAATAGCAAGCGTTGCTGGCGTTATGCTTTTGGTTATTTGTGCAAGCTTATATAAAAAGCTTTTTTTTTCGTTTCCAGGTTTTTTGCGTTAATAATTGCTAATTTTCCGTTTGCTTATCGTGCTATTATAAAGTTTTTTGTTAAAGCGCTTAGCAACGAGCTTTATAATGCGGTATATTGTTTTTATCCTATATATCCTGTGCTTTATAAATTTGCTAACGTTATTTTTCCGATCGTAAATATTTTAAAAATGGCGTACCATTACCAAGCAACTTTTTAAGCTTAATGCTAAACAAACCGATTCGAATGCCGATTTTGCAATTATAATTCCGGGTTAGCGATACGAAACGGGGCGTTTGGCCGCGCTTTGTTTTTTTAAGGTTGCGTTTTTCGAAGTTTCGGGCGAAAGTTTTTCCGTTTAAAACGATAATGCAAATAAGGATAATAAAAATTATAATAGCAATAATAATTAGCTTTATTTTATAGCGCTTATAAAGTTTAAGGATTCCGTTGCTATGCTTGCAATTGCTATTAAAAAGCAAAAAAGGCAGGAAAAGAAAGG